CACTTGACAGTCCACTGTACCTACCCCACCCCCCGAAAAAAAACACCGGTGAACGAAACTGCGGCAGCTACAACCAGTGTACGACGTGTGCGCGGTTATTACAGCTGACAATGATGATGATGATGATGATGATGATGATGAATTCTAAAACCGTAAATATGCGCAAAATTCTTACAATATCCATTCGACTTTTTCAGGAAGAACGATCGATTGATGCGTAGTGAAAGTATGTGATATCTAAATCAACTATAGCTGCTCTTCGCAAGTGTTCGCTTCCAATTTTCCAGCCCTCGTTGACCGGATCAATAATCCGGCTCGTTTCGTCTGATCGATAACAACTCACGTGATTGTCTGGCCGAGAAGATCTCGTCCACTGATTCCAAAATTGGCCAGGAACATCAGAACTCCATGGAGATTATCCACTATGTCGTACTGGTTGTTTTGCATAAGTGAAATACTCAAGCAGAGTTCAACTCAAATATGTCTGACTCTTGTCGACGCCCAACCACACATGCCACATATGCTTTGGTAAACTGAGACGCTTATTTCCTCCAAAAACACTGTGTTCTTCTTGATGCATTTTTAAACAGGTTCCAAAACTTGAAGCCATTCTAGAAGGGTCAAGGACAGAAGACCCGTCCACGGCAAGCAACGTGGACGAAAGGCACACCGAATTGCGTGAAACTAAGATCTCCAGGTTATCTCGATTGGATGAGGTGGCCGATATCTTTGTTCGACTTGCTGATGAAGACATCGAGCCAACAGAAACAGTGCCGAATGCGGGAGAGAGTGGTGGAGTTTCCGAAGTCCTCACTACGTCTGTAAGTCGTATGAGGTTTTTATCCGGAAATCGCGGTGAAAGAATGCATTGGATCTGTTATGTTGTGCCTGGAGTGGGCAAACGGAGCTCACGCCGAGTGGTAATCAAACATGTTCACCAGTAATCACCAGTCAAAAGTTACCTAGAACTTCAACATTTTTCTGTAGAATAAAGTGCACAAAAATTGGTGATAGGAAGGACAACAGACCACTTTCGAATATTTTCTTACACCTTTTTACATTAGAATCTGGCTGGTTAAAACACTTGTCACCATAATCATTGCCGAGGAAAAACAGAACAGGTTGCGGACCTACTTTCCTTAGTAATGGAAAAACGTCTATATGTTGGCTGTAAACAGTTATGGCCCGGAATATACGGATCCTTACTGGTTACTTCTCATGAAGGACACCCCCGAATAGGGTATCACGCTTGGTTGTTTAGATTAAGTTATCCCTCAAAAGTGTTACATTTTCATAACGGAAACTACTCACGAGAATGCTGAAAAATCTTCGACAATAACCTTGTGAGTACTTTCCTTTATGAAAATATACTGCGATATCTCGAATATCGTGCCAACTGAAACATTAGGCGGCCTGGGTGCAACAACTTCAGTTGTAGAACATCATAAACGAGAGATTCCGTTGAGCCTCTCGTGGAAACAAAATCGATTTGCAAATGAATGTATTTCTCGAAAAACGTTACACTTTGTTATTCTGAAGGCCAACCCGTTGAATGACTGTCGTTTCTTCCGATTTCAAAGCTTGTCGATCCCTGCTTATGTGCTTGAGTTCAGCGGGGCCGGTGTCGGTGCTAACCTTGCTAGTTACGAATGTCTCACGAAGCCAACCCCACTGGACAGAACACACTGACTGTGTGGTGATTCCGCGACATACAATTTGTTTGTTTGAAAGAAATACAAGTATTCGAATATAACCGATGGAGAATTATTTACTCTGTTTAAACGTGCAACATTCCTCCCTTTACATCTGCTGCCAAAAGGTAGCCTACTTGTCTAATTTGTCAGGAGACATATCCGAGGCTGATCATTCTTCTAGCGGTCTAGGTGATCAAAGCGGGGGTCAGACTCATATGTTGTAATAGACTGTGTCGAAGATGTTTACGGGAATAGCGATGCGTTAAAACAATACGTAGGTGGATGTGGTCAGCACGGATTCCGTTCTTCCCCGACAGTCATGTTTGATGGTTGTATGTGCGTAAGTGCTAAGGAGCGGCATTTGAGCCTGGCCTGTTCAATCCAGTATAAACTAATCTGTCTTTCTTTTTTAATGCAATGAAATGCCACTTCATTCAATATTTTCGCATTTTGAATATTTGACAAATTCCATCAGTAACGGCAACCACAAGTCACGGACCTCAAACCTGAAGAAGGTTCGACCAAATGCAGTTATCATGTTGATGACAATTGCAACGAATTCGTGCACAGATTCTGTGTAGCAATGCTGAAATAGAATGCTTAACATTTCAATGAAAGTTATTCTTAAGTAACGAACGGTGGCTAAAATCTGCCGATATCACGGGGATATATTTCATATGGCGAAGCATTTCATCTAACCCAAACGCATGGTCGGAGTGTGCATTCATCTGTCGATATTTTTGACACCCCAAAAGGAGGATCGATCGGCGGGTCAGCCGACTCAAGTCGGTCACCTGAAGTCTAGTCCGGGTGATACATCTCCTCGTCACTCCCAAATTTTGGCTGAAGTAGAAGATATCTTCAGGCAACTTGCCAGTGATGACATCCAACTTCCGCCGGAAAAACCAGAAGTGGAGCGCGAGTCTGAACGAGCAGTCGGACGCAAAGGCTCTTCAAAAGTAATTCCATTAGAATGAGTGTATGGGCTATTATTGAGGCGTGTACTATCATACACACTGTACTTTTTAGCACTAAGGATACCTAATTCTTCATTCACACAGTGAAAGCTTTTGATTAATGCTTTGTTATACTATACTCTATTATGATATAATGTAATGGGTGTAACATGTTATAGCAAGTTATAACAATATAATACCTCATATATGTATATATNATATATTACATGGCGTTATATCGCGCATGACAAACGTAATACAATAAAATACCAGGTTATACGTGATATAACGCGCTAGAGTGCACTATAATACGACGCGATGTGATGCATTACAAAACAATATAGTAGGACACGATATATGATCATACAACAGGTTACTTCCAGGTGGATCATTTGAATTTTTACTAATTATTGAAGATTTCGGGTCTCCCACTTAATTTTGATCAGCTTTCCAACATCCCACCAAACAACACCCCAAAACACGATGTTAGCTAACCAGTGTAAACTTGTTTGCTCTAATTTGCCATTATACAACGCACAGTCTCTCAGATGTACTGTACTATTTGAAACCTTGTAAAATTCGGTCAAAATCAATCTCATTTGTCGCATTTGTGCACAGGAAGGAGACAGCCATGCGACAAAAACATCTGATCAGCCGTCAAAAGGTTCGAACGGTCTGGGTGAAATGGATGTCTCGATCGAAGAATCTTCCACAAAAGACAAGGAACCTGCCTCAGAATTTGCAGCAGTTAAGACAGGTAAGTCTGTTGAGCTTCAGTCATGTTACACATATGTCCCTCCAAAGGCGAACAACAAAGCGGGACAAAGCGGTTACCTTGCTCCATCCCTTGAGCATAGTAACTCTTTGACTGACTGTAGCCGTTTGGAGGTTGCTCCTATTGAGCTGATTCCATTTGAGGTCATTAAATTTATTGATACAAAGATTCCAGAGCCGGTTGCACCGTTTGGTTTGACCTAGAACAATTGAATTCCTTTTTCATAAAGGAAACTACTCACAAGGTTGCTGAAAACTCTCCCACACCCCACGACCAGTTTCGCCCTTCTTGGGGCTCATCAGGTAGGCGCAGTCCCCGAGTTCCCGTCAACCTTACGATCTACTTGAACCCAAATTGCACTGTTTTCGAGAAATACACTCATTTGCAAATCGATTTGGTTTTCAAGAGAGACTCAACTGATTTGCAAATGAGTGTATTTCTCGAATTGAATTCCTTGTTTTGTTTGCATCGCTTGGCCAGTGTGCATCTGTATTCTTTGTTAAGTCTTGTTTTGTTTTGTAGACGGTGAAGGCTCTATACAAATCAGGGGTTAAGGCGCAGGCCATTAACCGAGAAGTCTGAGGGCTGAATACAACCTTATCTTTTCCACAGCTGGACAGCTTCGTAATATACCAGTCCTCGTGTCTCCTTTGATTTGCGCCGTAGCTGTGTAAGGTAAGGTTGTCACAGCTAACTGCATTTCTACCGAGGGTTCAATTCCAGATTCCATTATGTAAGGCAGTGTCGGCCGATGCAGGAAATCACTTCGTACCTGCGTCATCCTTGTTGGAAGTTACCAGCATTACGCGCTTCACGAATAACTAGAGATTGGAGTTCGCAAACTGCCAGGTAGGGGACTTAACAATGTCATTCAGTCAGTTGACAATCAGGTTGATTGGTTAGCACGTTCCTCTAAAAGCACTCAGTCCAAGTGGAATGAACTGGCGTTGAATGGAACTTCGGAAGACGGCGTTCAGGAGTAGACGCAGTCTGATTTTTTTTTCTTTCCGATAAGAATACTCGTATTTTGTAGGTAGGTCTGATAAAAAAGGGTCTGGCGACTACATCTTTGATCCGATGTGGCTCATTCGATTGGCTCGATCGATGGCTTTATTGTTGCTATTTCAAACACAATATCACAAAACGAAACCCCGATCAGAGGAATCCTTCACGTGGTTTTGTTGCTCTGAGTCATCCACCATTTATGCACACACAGATACTCCAAAACCTGTTCCTCGACATCGCTCGACCGCGCGGGCAAATGTTCTCCCAACCACAAGTGAAGGCGACCTGTCAGAACTAAGTCAGATCTCGTCAATCCCCACCGAGGACGTGCAAGCAACAACAGCTCTTTCGGACGTAGAGACGGATGAAGTCGAAATTCAAATTCATCACCTGGACTTGGACCAGGGGATCATCAAAGAGACTTGGCAACGTGTATGTGTGAATTATGAGTTTCTAGATGACACAGAGTCCACGGAAACCACCTTGCTTCCAAAGGGAGTAATCAGTGAGGACGGAAAACAACAATGGACGGCAACCTTTGACTATTCAAAAGGTAAGTGAATCTATGGGATGTGACGCGTCCACTCCCAATGTTTTCACTGACTACTAAAAATTCTGATAGCTTGCGTTGAGCCGCATAATATATAAATCAATTCAAAGTGTTCTGAACCAAATCGCGTGATTTCAAATGTTCGAGTAGGCGCAGTTGAGTGGTGTGTGGTTTGCTGGAGTTGGAAAAACGGACCAGGTTATAAACGTCTCATTTAAACCGGATGATGTGATCGAGCGAAAAGCAACCAACCACTTGTTAGCAGACAAGATATTGACACATATTTTGTAATGCACTACTCATAGGGTTGCTGAAAACTCATCGACAGCCCACGTTTCACACGTTCTACTTCGCTGAGAACTGTGCAGAAACTGTTCGACCATGACCGATGTCGTGTGATTAGTGAATAAAAGCCGCTGCGTCATCTGTGAATCGGACAAAACTTGAACCTATCTCAATAATGAGGGAATAATGTCAGACCAAATTATCATGTTTTTACAAGAATTAATTTCGGTGGTCTACTTCCTCGTAAGCTATTTTGGTGGGTGTAATCATACAAACGGTTCGACCCATCTTTTACGTGTCACGTTTGCACCACTTCTGTAGGTTTGTTGACCCGCCAATTTCATTCTTTACCTTCTGTCAAAATCAAACAGATGAGGATAAAAACGACCGCGGCACGACAGAAACCTAGTCGACACGGTGATCCTCTGGGCGAGAAGGGGTATCCGGCATAACCCAGGCAGCCAGTCCCTCTTCGGTGAATCGCAAGCTGGTTGATGCCTGACGCGAACAGATGTACTAAGCTCTTAGGGAGAATGGCCTGTCCTCAGTGGGGACCCTAGTGGGTTGCATGCCGAGTATGAAAATAGCAAACTGCTTGGTCTTTGTTCGGAGTAGTTCGGTGAATACATACAGAGAAAACAGTCGTTCTATTCACATGAGGATTTGACTCGTGGAGCAAGGAGTTTTTGAGTTCTTAAAATTCACGATATGTCAGACTGACATCTTTAATGAGAACTGTGAAAGTTAGTTCGTCCAGTGTAGGCCAACGAGAAGGCCGAAGAAATGAACAGTAACCTGAGGGATCCCCCACCAGTATATAGTTTTCCCTATCTCAAGGCCGGTTTTACTGGTCTATACGCAGGTGGTCAAATCAGTTAGTCTCGCCAGGACAAATTTACATGAGCTTTCGCTGGGAAAGCCCGGACCTGAGGCCAACAGCACCATTGTTTAGTTTTGTCGCTTAATCTGGGGAGACCACATGAGAGGACCAACGAGAAGCGAGCCCTCGTGGGACTGATCTTTCCTAGGTGGGGCCTCACTTGCAAAAGAACCTTCTAGAGATCAAGTGCCATATGAATGAATCCTTCAGAAACCGACGACGGTACCACAATTGATGGCGATTCGCAGGGGTTAACCGTTGCTGAACAGATAAGTCAGAATGATCTCACCACAAGTTCTCGTCCGCGAAACTATCTCACCTCCAACCCCATGTTATGTTCAAGGAAATCGACCGAAAAGGACTCGCTTCATTCCACGGAAGCCGCAACCAATTTAATTGATTAATTAACTAATTAATTATTAGGTAACAAACAGTCAGTTGCGCATTTGGTTGGATGTTCGGACATGTTGGTTCCTAACTAGTCCACCATCTGATTCGCCCGACGGTACTTGGAGTCGGTCCATTTTTTTGCAATAGCGAATACAACAGTGCGTTGGACAATCGAAACCCGTGTTCACCTTCAGTTAAAAGTTCAACTGATTGACTGCAGTAGGGCTGTTAAAATTCGTATCACTTTTGGCCATCAGTGTGATCAGCTTGTCAGACTATCGAACCATGCTCTACATCTGTACACGTTGTCGACCACTCACATACTATAGGCTTTCTGTGCTCTCAACCTGTTTCCTCAGTTCTCATCAGTCCATCGCTCGTCTATTCGTTTCTTGTCAAGCTTTCCCGGTTGATGCTGATAATCATCCAGAGCAAAGAAAACGCTTGAGACGCCTGATTCTGCCGGAAAGTACCGAAAACCACGAGGTCAAATTCAACATCGTGGCTAAGTCAGCCGGCTCGGACACCACGTCTATCGGATCGAGTGTTTTGAATTTACGTTCGATCCTCACAGCCGGTGAAGACATGAAACAAGCATTTTTACCGGGTAAGTGGATGAACCATGCATAATATCTGTCCTGCTGTGCGCTGTTCGCGTGCGACCAACCCAATTGGAAGAAACGATGCGAGGGCGCAGCCATAGCGAATTCATAAAAACTAAACCCTAAAGCGATGCGGCAAGAGTACCCTACGGATAATCCACAGTCGGCGATTAAAAATAAATATAATAAATCTTTCAGCTGTAACACGCTTTCGGTACCTAGCTGTCATGTCACCCCAAGGGAGCACAGAAGCTACCGGGTTGCCCAAGCCTAGACAAAGAAAGTCAAGACACAGAGGTCGGGTTCGAACCACGGAACTTCCGATCAATAAATTAGCGCTCTAACCGTTTGAGCCATCAAGTCGACCGTTGGCCTCTGCATGGAAGCATATGCAGTATGGTAACAGAAAAAAGCTCAGGCGTGAAGGGTGAAACCAACGGAAAAGAGCATTTTGCTTATTGTTCTGTTTGGTATGTTAACACTCAGTCTCATCAAGACGCGTGCGCGTCCATCGCAAGAGCATGCATTTGTGGAAAATATACTACTCATGAGCAGTTATGGGCAAACAATGCGAGTGACAAACTATAAGGACCCGCCGCTCCATCTTTCAGGTTATTAATTGTCTTTTGCTCCCATTGCAGTGCACTCAAAACCTACACAAGGAGAAGATGAGCAAGGAACAAAGAAAGTCGGTCTGCTGTGTGTGTCAACGCAATGCCTAACCACATTGCGTGCGATTGTGAACGAACTTCCAGGTGTTGACTTGGAACTTTGAATTGATTAGTTTTCCCACATTTTAATAAAATATACGGGTGAATACCAGTCTTTAAGTTTTACCTCGAAGAAACGGAAAAAAGTGAGGCTAGAAGGTTCGAAGGTGACTACAGTACGGGAGAATTGGACGTCAAGATACCCCGGAGGGTACACAACTGAAAATACACTTTTCGGATGTAGCTCCTGAAGTAACGATTCCGTCCACCTACCTGCCAGTAGTTCAGCTTTCTGTGAAAACTGGGTGAAGTGCGAACACCCGGGCAAAACGGAGAAACTTTTCGCTTAAAAGAAGCAATCGACCACAATGAAACTGATTTATTCAAGTTGTTCATTCTGCTTACAGTAAAGCAATAAAGCCTTGCAACAGACATAAATAGGGATCCTGTTGAGAATCTCGTTGATACAATCTTAGTTTGCCTCTAAAAGAGCGGAGCCAGTTGCGGACTATCGCTATCAATCTTGTAAGTAGCATCGTACCAACAAGATTCACTAGGACTCCAATTTGGCTCCATTGCCTCAGCATGGCGTTGCGTGACTGACTGATGTTAATGTATTGAGGGGTCTTCCGTAGAATTAGCTTCTTCGAGTGGCAATTTTATGGTGTGGGCTTCAATTCACGCCAATAACGAACGAATGTTTTGCGCACACTTGCAACGATGGGTCGAGTGAGCTGGCCCCTTCCACCACAACGGTAACCGATACCGTCTGTTTGCTCTTTCCGCATATTATAAAATTGATGTCAGACCCGAGAGCTTGCCATTCATAAAATAGCTAGCCTCACTCGTAATAAATCCGTTGATAGATAACACACTGGGTTATCCAGGAAACACATTTGCTTGAAAATAAGTGAGGAGTGCGCGTCGCTGATCGTTCATTCCTGGATTTCTGTGGATACAAATGTGGGGGAAGCCATTGGTCCCTTGGTTCCCGTCAACAAGCGACTGAACGTCTCCGCACACCGACTCGTAACTTTAGAGGCAGGAAAATACGGGTTAAAGGCAATCCGCACACCGTTAGTAAGTATTTGAGCTAAAGTAAACATAGAACATGCAGAGATAGCATACATGAGTGATCTCGGAATGACTTCCACATTTTGCCAGGTGGAATGCAATCCAATTGACTCCATGGGAGTCGTTCACGTGGGTAAATAAAGCTTGCTTAAAGGGATTACTACGACGGAGGTGTATTGGTTAGATACCGTGTGCAAAAGCCATCTCTTGCTGGGGCTAGCATGGTGCAGAGGGTGATGCGATAGACCGAAGTCGGTTCTAAACCTCACACAAGCTACACATGATGAGCTATGAGATTGTGGCTTACTGTATACAACCTGGGGCTCTGTGTTTCCAAATGCTACCGCCCTCCGGGCATCAGAAACCTATGCAAAGATAGTGTCTGATTGGGTGGAATTCAGTTGCCGGTCGTATTTTTCAGGCCGCGCTCTGGTAGACAACAAATTGGAGAAATTCTTCCACATATCATGGGTCAATTCATCGCTCATCTTGAGCTAAACGTCTCTAAGTCTGTCGTCACAAGTTAGAGTGAATCAAATTGTGGTTTCTCTACGTGAAAACCTCGTAGTTATGCCTGGAAGTCGATCTATCCTGCAGGATAACTGTGATACTTTAGACACCAGATCCCCTACATCCACCGCTTGTATCTAATGAACTACACACCTGTATTCCTCCGGCAGGAAAGGAAGACGCACCGGAGATTACAATCAATGCAATGAAGACCAATCAGGTAAGAAACTTGGCTTCAGTATCTGCATGCATCTGAAGGAGCCTCACGTGCAGTTGTTTTTCTACAGTACAGCTACACACACATTTCCTAGTGAATCGGACCGCTGAACCCAGACAGAGTTCCGTGCAATTCTTCACCGTGAATCAGAAGTACGATGGCACCAAGGGCTACACTTTGTGTTGCTGACAATATGAATGATAATAATAGTGGAACACACATCAGGAGCCGCAGAGCAACCACCCCAGTGGTTCAGAATTTGAACTTAGTACATTCGTGAGACATGCTCACCGATATGGATACGTCAGCCCACGTCCCTAGCCGTGGCTAAGATTCTTCCAAGCTGGTATCGCCCGACAGACGTTAGTCATCAACACGCCTGGTTAAGTTGGAGACTGTTGATCCCAGCGCCATCTCCACCTGGCACAAGGTTGGGCGAAAGAAGATCAAACCCAGCAATCGGAACCTACGAAGTGTGGGTAACTCGTCACATGGACTAATCTGTGGATTTCTGTTGGAATAGTTTTACATTCCTGTCAGGAAAGAAGCGTTCAGCTGTAACACCCTCTAACTGACAGGCCACCAGAAGAAAGCACGAGTGCTGAGATACTGCCAAGTTGCCCAAACCTAAACACAGGAAGTCGAGATGCAGAGGTCAGGTTTGAATCACGAACCACGTCCAGCAAATTTGCTCTCTGACCACTGAGCCATCTCGATTTATCAAAACATCTTGGGAAACGTACCCGGGTATGGATCGAATGAATTCGAACTACAAACCCGTCAATTTTTTGGATTTCATTTCAGATTTAAGAACTAATAAACAATGAAGTGTCTCCGTGGCATCTGGTCCCCTGGTTAAACATTGTGCGGCCGAGACGGTGTTAGAAGATCGATCTGCACCACCTTGGGCATAAAGACAGCACGCCTTGATTTGGTTCGCCAATCGATCAGTCAGTCAGTACACATGTCATATTTGTTTCTCGTTGGACAAGGCATCGCAGTAGCTTACTGTGTCCCATTCACAGGCTTGGCTAGCTTCCCTATCGTGTTGTATACTTTCAAGTGCGTCAGCCAAAGACCCCGACTGATGTTCCGTTCTCAGGAGATTTCAATCAGCAGTAGGAGGCATCACATCAAAACCCGCGTTGCAAACCAGCAGAAACACAATGCATGAACTGAATCAAGGAGTCGTAGGGCTATATATAAATGATATGTACAGGCAAGACTGTGAGATATGGTCAGTAGGAATAAATATAGGCATCATCAGAATCTGCATTGGATTTTCGATCAACCGAAGATGATGACGAACTGTCGTCGTCCGTCGTGTCTTCCTCATCCGGATAGTCATTGCGCCAGTTGGATTCGCTGTTGGAATCATCTTCATCATCGTGAACATCATCATCCTGACCATAAATATCCTCAAACACGATCTCGTTCTCTGCGTATCGTGATGAGTGACTCCGGGATGAAGAGGAGCTGGCGCTGCGTGAACGTCTTTTACGGGATCGTCGCTCCAGTAGGTACAAATCATACACATAATCTATTTCCGATTCTTCTGAAAACCGTTTAGATACGGGACTCGTGCCCACTTGGAGCTCTCTCAGGAGTGTGTCGAGTTGGGTGGATTCAGGGACAATGTCAATTATTTTAAGTACTTTGCCCGGTGGGCCAGCGCAGTCTTTGCTGGTGAGTGACGTCGAAGTAGAACGCTTGAGTGTGTTTATTTTGACCTGTGATATAGTGCAAAAACAAAACTAAAGGATGGCGCATGTTGCCAGGAGCAAGCAAGAAATATGAACCCGTTTGAAATAGTACGAAAGCAATGAGTGAACATATGTTAGATAGATCGATAGATGGTCACATATGCATACAGACCCCTGTCTAGTGAGACGGCTTCAAAGCCGTTCTCTTCCGTTCTCTTGTAGTAACATTATCCGAAAAGGAGAACTGTAGCGATGTGGTACGATAGGGAAGTGAACCTAAGTTAGAACGATCAGTTGAAGTACACTAGTGTCTGTCAAATAGGGTACTGCATATATGTAGCAGTTCCCCGTACTACGAAGTCTAAACGGTTGTTCCATTTCACGATATTCACTGTCTATCTGTCACTAACGAGACCGCTCAAGGAATGGCATCGCCAGGCAGTTGCTCTGTGACGCATCTAAGTAGGTGTAGAATAGATAAAAGTCAAAGTGTGTTCAATTACTCATTGACCTGCCCCAGCTTGTAAGCATGAAGCTGACAGAAGGGTTTTGTTTATGCGCAGCTGCTTAGACGACTGGCATATCGCGCACTGTACACTGTCAAATTTGCCGACAACTTTCGCATGGTTAGCCAAATATCTCTCCCGTTTCGAAAGATTTGACTGTTCGATTCATTTGCTGGTTACCGCTTCAACATACGCACCGTCCAACGTGGTCTGACTGTGACTTGCTCTCACGCGGATAATAGGTCACAAACCCACACATCGGTGCTCAAGAAAGCGACTACGTGTACGCCGGACGTGCTTGCGTGTGTCGACCCCTTGAAGGCGGACATTCCGTCATTCAGTCTGGAAAAATTTCGGTCAGTTCACACATGAGTCCAATATGACCAGGATTTGCTATATCTCTCGGAACACAGACCACTTCTGATCGCTTCATCTCAAAAGGTTAGAAGCAGAGCTTAGATTGAAACTAGGTAACCCGATCAATCCAGTATAAAATTCGGTCTTACTAATATAACGGTTCGCACAGTTACGATATGCGATAAAGGCTAGAGGATAAGTCGAAGCAACACATAACAAGATGGTGATTTCTAAGGTCGAAATATATATCAGGCAACTACTTCGTTTGTTGATAGTATGGTATTAGGAAATTCCAATCAAGCCATCTCGACCCATGCCAAGAAGTGTGGTTAGGGGGAATGTGAAACCCTGGAGCGAAAAAAAATGATGCAGTCCCACAAACTTACCTCACAGTCTACATCTCGCGTGCCGTCACCACTGAGAATCGTCCCCGAATTAGTATTCAGAATCAGTTTGCTAGAGCCCCATGTTTCAACTCTATTCAAGCTGTCCAAAGTATCATACGAAATTTTATCGCCTGGTTTCTGGCTGCCAATATATCGAAATACAGTTGGAGAGACAGGATCTGAATCTAGACGACATAGCTTCTTGATCGGCTCGGTTTCAAAAGCACTCACAACTGTGGTCTCATTGAGTGGTCGCTTGACACGCAAGTAGACGGTCATACTGGAATGAAAAATCACGATAAAACATGTACAAATTGAAGAAAAATAATGCTGTCCAAGAACAGGAGAGTCATACAAGCTTACCCAACCTGGATTTATATAAAAGTATGATAAGGACGCGTGTCCTGCATGTTATTGAATGCAAGTCATCCTGCTTATCAGAAAGTATTACTTCAAAAATCATATCGTCCAACCATAGCAGAATCCTTTAGATACATGGCCACCATACTGCCTGAATGCCAAGGTTGAGACATAAACAATATGGTTTGAACAGTCGTCCTCCTGTCCTAGCGTTATTATTCTGGTGGGTCCAAATCAAAGAGAGAAAGCACTGGACTCAGGGTTTCGCTCTTATTAGAGCTCATCAGCACTGTATATCCAGTGGCCGTGCCGGGGTTTGAACTCCGGGCTCATCAGAATGATCAAGCCAGGACAGGAGGACAACTGTTCAAACGAGTGATGTGAATATGAACAATATATATATCCCACGAAACCCCACAACATGAACACTCGAAAAATTGGCATTAAATTCAAGCCATGGACTTTCAATTAACAGTTCGAGGCTGAGCAGCGAGATAGTGGTGATACAGGTTGTGTCTGGCTACGCTGATAAAATCGGAACCCTAGAGCATCTTGGAAGAAAAGAAGCAGAGCTACGACGGGTTGTTTATTCATTAATCATAAGAAACGATCTATCGCCTGATTGACGGTTGAAGAATTAAACCCTTTCCCAACTGTTCAAATATATTCAGTGGTTGCAGCGATAGCATTTTCAGCAGCGTCTGGCACATAATCCCCATGAGGTATGCGGGTTTAACCACTGCTACATCGAAAGGCACGATGTTCAGCTTTCTGCACCCATAAGCTGTCTAAATGGGGGGAATATCACAACAACATGAACAGAATAAGGGTGTCTTAAAACTACAAACTGCTCTTCCGCTCGCTGAGGGCGCGTCGTAAACTCATTACTTCAAGTCGCAAGTTCCAGTAAATTCATTCCTGAGACCATTTGTGGATGTTCCAAAGACCATTATCACCTTCGGTAATGAGTCCTGCTTGTGAGGAATTTATTCCGTTCATGTGGAGAGGACAAAACCAGAAAAGTAAAATGAGAACTAATGAGTGAGGAAGAACGAGGCTGAGCACCGATTGCAACACGGTAAGAAATAATCAGTCAGCTGTAGCATATCCCTGTGTATAGTTGTCAGGGAGGCACGAAGCATAAAGCTTCAAGCAGGTTGGGTGATCCGAGATAGAAGCATTCAAGAAGCCAAGGTTAGGTTCGGACAACAGATCACCCGGTCAGCAGCTTTGCTCCTTTCTCAGTAGTTTGAGCACGAATTTACCGACCGAAGGTCCGTGGTTCGAACCCGACCTCTGCATCTCGACTTCGCGTCTAGGCTTGGGCAACTTGGCAGTACCCCAGCCTCCGTGCCTCCTTTTAGCAATCGGGTACCGAAATTGTGCTATTTTCGTTCAGCTGTAACATCCTTCTGGTACCTGGCTGCCATGCCACCCGAAGGAAGCGCGAGTGCTGGGATAGTGCCAGGTCGCCCAAGCCTAGACAGGGGAAGTAGAGGGGCAGAGGTCGGACGCGGTCAGTAAATTAGCATCATCATCATCATCATCAACGACAGCATGACATCAGTGCTCAACACCAATGCTTCACTGCCGTACAGCCATGACTTATTTGAAAGCCTTATTGTAAAGAAAAGAATAAAGGTGGGTGGGGGAGGGACTTAGTGCTAGCTTAACACAATCACTCCGAGGTGCCTACACCTCCAGACATT